AATTAGTTAGCATAAATCAGTTAAATGACGAAAAATTAGGTGTCTATTTACTTGTGACCACTCAGTGTACATATTAGTTTAATAGACAGTTAATTGCATTTTAGTTTTACTTTTACATTTTAGTTAATTATGTATTGTATGTGTTTTAAAATTCATATTTGAAAGGCTTAATGATTTGATAAATTTATTCTATGCTTTGCCTCACTTAAAGTTAGCAAGTGCAAACAAAATTTGGCTGGAGGTTAAACATCTGCGTTAATGTTAAATCTTCCGTGGGCACCTATTGATGTGTCAACATAAATAATTAAATATATAAAAACATGAAAGAAAAATAAAATATTGAAAATAAACTATAAGTGAAAAGGTAAAGATGTGAAATTATGCATATGACCCAAAGAAAATATCTCAGGTTTATTCAATGAAGAGATAAAAGGTATTTATATATTTCCATTTCTTAATTTTTAAAATGTCATTGCACTGTAAGTTGATGATAATAGTTAGAGTTAGTGATGTTTTAGAGGAAATAGTAAATAAAACAAATATTTACCATAAAAAACTTTCGATAATCATATAGGAGATCCTAGAGATTATGAAAGTGAAATGTGAAAATTTTAAGCTAAAAAACAGTATTTTTATACCTAACATGAAAATCACCTTGAAGGTGAACTGTTCAGAGACTGAGCACAAATAGGTACATTAAATAACGAATTTTTGGTAGAAATAAAAGAAAAAATTAAACAAATATTTGTCAAGTTCTAAACAATTTTATCCACTAGTTTTATTATTGGAAAGAAATTTAACAAGATTTACATATTGTGCTTAAGTCTGAAGTATACCAAGGTATGAAAGGGCATTGAGGAGAACCACAAATGGAAGTACAGAGTGACAAAACACTGAGTAACCCAGACAGAACACAAGCATCTGTTTCAATCAGAAAGGACATTAAGAAGGAAAATAGGAGGCGATATGGGAGAAAAGGAGTGACCAATGTTCCCTACCATAAAATATGAGGGAAAAAAAAAAGACCAGCTAGGATGAGGAAGAAGGTAAGTGCAGTAATGAGAAAGTAAGAGGAAACTAGGGCATAGCTATGTGAACAATAACAATCACAGGCAAGTAGGAAGAGGACAAACGTGTCGAGGGAGAACAGAAATATCTGCTATAAGTTTGATAGGGATCTAGGTGAGGGTGTGGAGTACCACAGTAATAATACAGTCAGGCAAGAAGTAGAAGGGGGAGAGGTCAATGGATAAATAGGGAATGAAAGAGGGTAGAAAAGAGCTAAAGAAGAAATCATCCTGTAACATTAGAAAGATTAGAAAGTGGTGGAAATGTCACCCAAAAATTCAAGATAGCACAAACAGTTCATAGAAGAACAGAACTATGAAAAAGGAGGAATATGTTACAATGCAATGAATTCAAAGGGAAAATGTGGAACCACTCTGTCAATAGGATGCAATCATGTCAAAAATACAGCCTGTGACAATGTGCAGTGCCCCCAAAACATGATAGGTCATGAATGAAACTTACCCAAAAGCAATAGACTCAGAACTATGTCTGGACATTATCTTCTATGTATAAATGATAAGGAGTAATGGAAAGAAAATTAAACATTTTCTACCATGACTTCATGTTAAGGAAGAAGTAACCACAACTAAACATTATTTACAATGTGTCACACAGTATGGAGTAATTAATTGTCCAAACTTTATCTCTAAATGTCTGTGAAGGAGTAATGAACTATAACAAAACATCAGCCTTTATGTGGACATATTAACGAGTTATTAACTAAGTGTATACATCATCGTTAAAGGGTTACATGTTAAGGAAGAATAAACAATATCAAAATATTATCTCATATGTGTACATGGTAACGAAACAAACTAAACATGATTGTCTAAGTGTACATGTTAAAAAGGAACTAGCATAATCTACAGTGTACATATTAAGGATTATTAAACTAAGAAACCACATTACTTACTACGTGTACATGTTAAGGGGTAATAAACTTTGACTAAACATCATATTCTGTGTGATACATGTTAAAGAGTAATGAAATAGATCTAAACAAAATCATCTCAGTGTACCTGCTAAAAAGTAACTACGTCTCAACATCCAACAGTTATGTGTACAAGGAAAGGAGCAAGGAACCATGACCAAACATTATATTCTAACTGGTACATGATATGGAGTGACTAATTATGTCCAAACACAATATTCTATGTGTATACATCTATAGTGAAAGAGTTAACATGTTTGTATTGAAGGTAATTTTTGGGCTCGGGCCCAGGGAACAACCTCGTAACCATTTTGTGCTTGTTATTGTTTTCATTCTCTTCTATTATTACAAGGGAACACAAGCAAATCTACAAAAACACAATTATGCCTGCTACAGCATACTTGTATTGTTTCAGAATTTACATAAAGCTATACAAGGGTTGTCATCTCTAATTCTGTTCACTGTCATCCCTAATTTTGAAATTATAGACTGTAGCAGGCCTCGACAAATATTTTCAGATGTAGGATCCAGGTCCAATATAGAAAAACTATGGAATATATTTTGAGTTGGTTGTGTGGTTATGGTACAAGACATAGTTTTACACTAAAAAACAAAAGGTTCATAATTAAACTTAATTATGTAACATATATTAAAGTTAAACGTTAATGTGTGAAATTATTAAAATAGTAGACTAATTAAATATAACTTAGGAGTATTCTTGCAATGAATGAAAGTAAAATACAAATAATCACTGCAATATCAATAGGTCAAACAGGTTGATTCAGAATAGGTCTAATCTACTCATCACTACAACACTGTACAATGATAAGCAAAGGTCTTTTGGTGTGCCTGACCTAACTTCACTACTGTTTGTACCGGGAAATGGTAGCTATATTTATTTACTTTCACAGCAACGAGTGCATGCTGATAATCACATGATATCAAAAACCACTTGATAGTATTGCCTGAACTAATTGCCTTTGGTCCTGTTCAAGTCTAAACACACGCACCAATTGGTTCAATTGAAAGAAAAAAAACAAAATAGTGTGAAATTAGTAACGTGTTGTGCAACCGCAGAGCTTCATTCCTGAAAAAACATGAAGAAGTGCTAAATCTGCGATTCAAATCCTAGAAATAAAGTTCGATTTTGGACTCACAGAATGTGAAAATAGTTCCGGACTTCCAAAAGTCCAGAACTGTTTTAGATTCGAGTTCTACTTAGTACATCCCTATACACAAATAAAATGGGAGAAAATACTAGGCACCATGATGAAATTTTTAGTCACAATGGTGACCTGGTGCCCAAGATTTGTTGAGGCCTGACTCCAGATAAAGCTTAAACATTCTTTATTAGAACACAGTATAAATATGTCACTATTCAGTTTCCAACTTTATTTTATTCTTTACAATAACAATAAGCAAACTACTGATGTTCCATAAAAAATAAATTTAAAAAACTTAAATAAAAGAAAATGCTTACAGACACATCATAGCTTCCTGGTTCAGCTATATAAGTAACAGTTCCTTTGGCTCTGGGAGGTAACATTATTTTGTGCTTAACAAATGTATTTTCATGAACGATTCCATAGATATCCCCACCTGTGATGTGACTTCCAATCTGGAGTAGGAATATGTTTAAAATGTACAGTTTATAACTATTTTATACAATATTAGAAATAATTAAAATAGTCATAAAAATCTGTACCTAAATAAAATACAGGTCTTTAATACTTTCAGCAAAAAATCACTACACTTATTTTTAATAAATTTTATATCACATTAATCTTCTCTCATTACTTGAGAAATAAGAAAAATTAAACAAGCACGATTGATTTTTTATGCATAAACAAGTATCGTGCATTTGGAAAAGCCACAATTTTTAAAAGACAATTCTTATGCTTTCATGTTAATACTTTGTAATTCATTGTTTTTCTTTTTCAAGCTGAAGAGAAGTGGCAGCATGTATAATGTAGATTAATAAAAAACCATTATAGTTTGTATTTTGGTTAGGTTAAGTTGAAAATTTAAATATTACAAAATTATAATATTTTTTTCTCAATGTGAAAAGATAAATTATCTGTATTATGAATGGTGCAGTGTTAAGTCTTATCATAACGATAGAAGATTGCTGTATGTACTAGACACACACACACACAAATGTATACATTTAGTGGTATAATGTTCTACTTGTGATATAAACGAAAGATCACATTCATTTCCCTTTGCTTTCATCTTGGCAGAAATTGCAACTTATTACAAAAGTCAAAGAGGGAAGAGGGTACATTACCTTCATATTTATAGGCATAAAGTCCCACTTTTTGTCAGGATTAAGAGAAGGGACATTTACTCCTTTGGGAATATAGATACTCTGAGTCATATCACAAATAGTCCAAAGAGGGCGCTGTATACCATCAAAGATGCTACCCATAATTCCAGGTCCAAGTTCTACAGATAGTGGTTTCCCTGTTCTCAAAACTGGGTCTCCTACAGTGACACCAGCTGAGATAAAAGTTAAGAAAACTATCCTGTTTTATAACAACATTTTTTTTGAACAAATAATGGTCACTAAAGAAAAAGTATTAGACTCTTATGTCTTTATCCCCCCCACCCACCCCAAAAAAGTCATTATAGTGAGAAAGGTATTAAGTTATAAATAAAAATGTGAAGTAGTATTAGTAACAGATATAGACAAAAAAGACAAACTTAGGTCATTTCTATCACAAAAAAACACTAACCATTATTTGAGAGCATTGATGGAGCTCTTTTAATGGAAAATTGAGCACATTTTGTATTTAAATCTTATGCTTTTATTAGGAAATGATAAATCAAAATACTGTTTATGTTACTCTATAATCCCTTTCTGTTTATGACATGATGTACAACAGATGTATTAACGGCAAGTAGATGTAGCAATGTAACAAGGGTACTCATTGCTCTGTGAAAGAGTTTAAGAAATTTTCTTTTAAATACATTTAATACCTTAGAAATAACCTTGTAGGGTAACAAACATATTTACATAACTATATGATTTCCTTCTATAAGTTGGTATGACATGCTTATAGCTATACTTGTCATAATACATTAGTATTAGGCCTATTATATTTTTTAAACACTACATTATTTATCTAGTCCCTTAGGGATTTTCAAGAATTAGAAGAGTGTATAATAAAACTATTCCAACCACACCGTATTTGTCATATCCACTGATATAACAAACACAGTACTGGTCCAACCACCACCCTGTTTGTTGTATTCCAGCCAGCCTGAATAGTTATGGATTGAGTGAAACTCGTCATCAGCAATTCATGAAAATCTATAAAGGACTAGATAAAGAATGTAGGGTTTAAAAATATAATAGGCCTAATACTAATGTCTTATGAAAAGTATAACTTACATAACTTGTTTTTTTTTTGTGTTACCTAACATCCTGTCCACCTTGGTATGTACCTAGAATGTTTCCTTTCCTTTTTTTAAAATACTAAGTTATCGTACCAGCCTACAATAATGCTTGAACCTTACATGTAGAACTATACTATATAATCCAAACTGAACATAAAAATTAACTGTGCCACTGATATCACCTCTTAATTTTAAATGTTATCTCCTGGTATGTCCTTGATTACAATTTTAGTTTTTCAAATGTCATAAATTTTTTAAGTAATTTATATTCTGTTGTCAATAGTACTTTAGAGCATTAAGATCTGGTTAGATAACTTTTTAGATTATTCAATTAGGATAAGTGTTTATAGCGAATACATAATTCATTATCATGTATACAATATTTTCTAATGTCCTTTAATGACCTTGTTGTTAAGTATAATATTTACATATTTACTTCATTATTTACCTTTCTTAAAGAAATGTACAAATATATCTCAATAACACTTCAAAACATCATTGAATAAACATTTCTGACAAACAGCTACACACAGTTTATCATAACACAATATCTCTGAACACACCATATTTCTCACTTCCAGATGTACGGCACGTAGTACTTTGCAATATGTTTACTGTAACTTAATAATGTTATACATCTTTAACATACATATCATTATTTACATAGACATTCTCATAGATATAGCAAGTAGAATGAGGAGGAGTGTATCTTTTCTTTTTATGTACTTATCAACATGGCACTGAAGTCTTTAAATACATCTAAGAATGGATGGATGGATGGAAAATGTTTTAAACACGATTCATCTAAAAAGCCTTGTGTATCAAATGAAGCATAAGAAATCAAAAATACAGTTTATTAATGAATTTAATTACTTAATCTTAACACATTTTGTGTACATATTTTGAAAATGCCTTTTCAAAAAAATGGCTTTACATATATATATATAAAAACAAAATCATACAAAAAGGATACAAGTTTCCTCATACACTTGGATAGTAGCCATTTCTCCCTCCAGTCGAATGATTTCACCTACTAATTCATCATGCCCTACTCTAACAAGTTCATACATAGCTGCACCAGACATTTTCTCAGCTGTAACAACTGTAAATACAAAAGGAAATGTTAAAACAAATGTGCCATTCATTATATTACTTATATTGAATATTGGTTCAGATGTGAGTAATAACACAAGCATTAGATTTTTAAAAAACTACTTAAATAGTAGCAATGTGCACCACATTTTCAATCCAATTTTTAAAATTCTACATTCTATGTAACAACGAAAGCACACTGACAGAAATCAAAACATTAATAAAATGATATTATATAACAATTATTGATTACAGCATGTTGAAATAGAGGAGTAGAACTTAAGATAAAGTACAATCAACTCTATCTCGATGGACACAAGGTCTTAGTGACTTACATTCAGAAATTTATTAAAGTACTTTTTGTTTATATTATACCAATTAGTGTAGCATAAAATCTTAGCTAATAATCCATATTTTAATAAGTTTTAAATTCTTAATTTTATAAAGAAGTATTTTTAAAATTCCTGAATTTCCCCTAGTGTAACACTTATGACATTTTCTCTAAGCATCTTCTCTTCTCTATTTTATCCATCACCCCTCCAATAACTCCAAAATTCAATGTATATTACTCACTATAAAATTGTCATTGCTCAGATAAACCATAATTTTTATGGCCTTCAATTTTGTTTGGTTACAGAGCTATCCAATAGAAATTCAGACCCCTCTTGCCACACCCCCTGTCACATCCTGTCTTTCAGGATTTGTTAATAGTTCTCTCTTATGTTTAATTATATATCATCTATAACCAATAGAAAGTCAAGGTTTCATCTATCAAATATGTATTTTTTAGTGTTTTCTAAGTGGAGAAATTCAACTTCACTATTAGTACAAGCTTTGTTCCCATGGTAAAGATAATGACTAGCTTGGATGAACTTATAACAGCTCTTGTTATATAGTTAGAAAACCAGAAAAATTCTGAGAGTTAGGAGGAATTGTGTACTTTTTGCATGTTATTAGTCTATTTTGTGTGTTGCATTATTTAATTAAATAAAAATTATTTAGTGCATTAATACCATTAGTATAAAAAAGTAGGGTTAAGTGTCATCGAGAGTTGACAGCAAAAAAAAGAAGATTCGGGTAAGTACTTTATTTCTTGTTTTTTATGTTTATTCTTTATTTATTAGCTAAGGTTAGAATAAGTAAAATAACTAATAATAATATAATAAAAATGTTTCTTGAGCCATGCACATGAGTAGCTCGTAGATAACGTAATTCAATAGCATAAAGTGACCTCCACGTTCCCTAAATGACTTACAACTTATAATGCCGTGAATAGTAATTAGACACTGTTGAATAGGCAATAAAACAATAAAATTTAAGTATAAATAGATGTACACTGTTACCAGTTTAAAGCTACTTAGGATAAATGAATATAGTTTCATGTTACAATTTGAAGTCATTCTAGAAAGAAAAAAAAGGTAATATAAATTTATTTAGATTTTTTTTTGGTGGTTAAGAGGTCGATCAAGTTGACAAACATTGTTATTGAGTTAGGGTAGAGAAAATAACGAATAGAATATAAAGTTTTACTGAAAACTAACATTTGAAATGTGTTTAAGAGGTTTTAGAGATTACACAAATCAAATCTGGTATTTTTTATCTTAACATAAAAATCACTTTGCATATGGACTATTTAAAACAAATACTCGATATATTCACAGACAAATATTTTTTTTTGCTTATTTAAAATACTTAAAAAAAAAATATGATTTTTTGTGTGTGAAAGACTTATGTTTACTGAAAGACTACCAAATTTTGTGAAGATACATGTACTATATTAAAAGTTAGTAGTATCAAATCTATAAAGACTTTATAAGAGTATAAAAAGGTCATGTGGTCAGTCAAATTGACTAAGCCGAAATTGAGAGAGTTAAACTGAAATAATATTTTAAATACCGTATTTTGTGGAATATAAGACACCCTTATTTTGAAGACAAAGTTTTGGGGAAAAAAAAGCTGCAGTCGCATTTGAAAGATTTTTATTGAA